ATGAGCATCGCCAAAACGGTTATGTAGTGACACGAAATAAAATACGTTTGTTTGCACTTCAGTGGGCCAAATCTAACCCAGATCACAGCAACAGATTTAAGGCCACTGCATCCTGGTGTACTAGATTCTTGGAAAGGCATAATATGGTACTGAGGCAAAAGACGAAAATTGCACAAAAATTACCTGCAGATCTTGATAGCAAAGTAATTAGTTTCCATCAATACATAATACAACAGCGCATTAAACATGGCTATGCATTAAGTAGTATTGGAAATATGGATGAAACTCCAATGAATTTTGATATGGTTGGAAATAAAACTGTCCATCAGAAAGGTGAAAAAACAATTTTAATTAAAACAACAGGACATGAGAAGTCCAGTTTTACAGTGGTACTAGCATGCACAGCTGATGGTGCCAAACTGAGACCAATGATTATTTTTAAAAGAAAAACAATGCCAAAACTCAAGTTCCCTGTTGGTTGTTTTGTACATGTGAATGAAAAAGGCTGGATGGATGAAGAAGGGGTAAAGCTATGGCTTGATAATGTATGGAGCAGGCGACCAGGTGGACTTATTCAAAAACGTAGTCTACTGGTGTGGGATATGTTCAGGGCTCATTTAACTCCCAGCACCAAGCAAAAGCTTGCAAGACTAAACACAGATGTGGCAGTTATTCCTGCAGGATTAACATCGTTAGTACAGCCACTGGATGTATGCCTAAACAAGCCATTTAAAGATCGCATTCGAGAACAGTGGAATGAATGGATGGTTAGTGGCGAAAAGTCATTCACAAAAGGAGGAAACATGCGTGCTCCACAATTGGATGTTTTGTGCAAGTTTGTCATAAAAGCCTGGAATGATATTGATGCAGAAACAATAATCAAGTCTTTCAAGAAGTGTGGCATATCAAATTCATTAGATGGTATGGAGGACGACTACTTGTGGCAAGATGAAGAGGAAGCCGAAGCTGAGACCACACCATCTGATACGGAATTCGATCCATACGATGACTGCCTTGCAAATGTATCACAAGATGTCATTGATATTTTTATGATATCAGATGATGAACAGGATGATTTTAAAGGCTTTTAAAGGGAAAGTATTATGCCAGCAAAACCTATAAAAATAGCTTGCAGTTATGATGGGCGTTGCTGACTCGCCAGGGACTTGCCCGGCACTTGCTCTCTCTATTGTTTGTTATCTTCCTCCTATCATCATCAGTTCCAGTTTGGTTGACAGCTTAGAAAACAAATAGCATGGCAGCTCCCATGGGTTTATTGTCTTATCCTTCCTTTCAGCTTTAGAGTGAATTAGGAAAAGTTTAATCACTTGCACTGTTTTATGTTTACATGTTTGATGACAAACAGCCTTATGTTTATAAGTGACAGTTTTCCTGCTAAGTACCTTTATGCCATAAGCATTTGAATTAAAATTACCATATTGAAATCAAATCTGATGTTTTTTAATTTTTATTTGGTGTGCGTTGAAAGAGGGGTAGTCTTATACGGCGAGTATAGCCCAAACTCTATATTTTAACTGGAAAAGTTGGGGGTCGTCTTATACGCCCAGTCGTCTTATACGCCGGAATATACGGTAATAGAAAGCACAACTTGGAAGCCCGCCTGGAATTGTGGAGATGCTTCAGTTGTTTATTCTCAAACGCCTCACTTAACAGATGGTGCTTCAGCGTGGCAATACCAGGAAAGGCTTGGTGAGGTTTTTGCTTTTATTTTTGAGAAGACATCAAGATTTGATATTCCTTGCTGTTAGTATCTATGCTTGGTCTTCTAAGCCTGGAAGAAAGGAATTTTGCAAGACCTAATTCTAGAACTGAGGTTGGAAATACCTGGTAGAAATGAGATGTCCAGAGTAGAACTATCAAAAAGGTGAAGAATTCACATTATGGAAATAATCTTTCCAGGAGAGAAAAGTTGGGGGTGGGAGGTGGGGGGAAAACACAATGTCCTATGTCCTTAAATGGATTTGTTGATGTTATCATTAACGGAAACATTTCATCCATGATATAAAGCTACAAGATCCTTTTTTAAGCACACAGCTTGGTACTTTACAAAGAGAGACTAGGGGAGGAAGGGTTTTGGTATAAGTTGAAAAGACCAGCTAAATCCAGAACAGAGAACAGTTAAAAAAGAAAAAAAAAAAAAACGCTCTTGAGTCTTTAGATTAGAAATTAGCAACTTTAAGACATGTGGACGTCAACTCCCAGAATTGCTGGCTAGGGAATTCTGGGAATTGAAGTCTACAGCTCTACAGCTCTTAAAGTTGCCAAGGTTGATTATAGACCTATATCTCTTTTAAATGTTGATTATAAGATTTTTGCAAAAATTTTAGCTAATAGGCTTATGAGGGTTGTGCACCACCTCATACATAAGGACCAATCTGGTTTTATAACTGGTAGATATATGAAAAATAATGCTAGACAAATTATTAATTTACTAGAATATTTAGATAAGAATAACCAAATTCCTGCAGGGTTGATATTTTTAGACGCTGAAAAAGCTTTTGATCAACTGAATTGGTATTTTATGCTACGAGCAATTGAAGAGATGAATTTTGGTGAAAAAATATTACAAGCTTTTACTGCGATATATCAAAAACAAACGGCACAACTTATTGTTAATGGGGGTTTGTCAGAGGTTTTTACAATAGAGAAAGGTACTAGACAGGGATGTCCATTGTCGCCGTTATTGTTTGTTTTAACATTGGAAATCTTGTTGATCAAAATTCGAGGGTCGCAGGAAATAAAAGGAATAGAAGTTAACAAAAAAGAATATAAGTTGAGAGCTTTTGCAGATGACTTGGTGGTTACTTTGTCTCAACCTATTTATTCTGTAGTAAAGTTATTACAGTTGATTTATCAATATGGATTGGTTTCGGGTTTTAAGATCAACGATAATAAGACTAAAATACTACCCAAAAATATGACTATTCGGGATAAATAGATTCTGGCTAATTTGACTGGTTTTGAAATTGTTAATAAGGTAAAATATTTGGGGGTTATTTTATCTGTATCTAATGCAAAACTGTTTAAGAATAACTATGAAAAAGCTTTTTGGATTAAGATATGGTAGAATATTCAGAGAATTTTTAGAAAGAGGGTAAAATTTACTCCACAACTATTTTTGTTAGGTATAGTTACTGATTGTGATGCAAAGGAGGTTATATTGATGTTGAATTTGATCACAGCCGCAAGGTTGCTAGTAGGACAATACTGGAAGAAGGAATCTTTGCCTACTTTGCAGGAGTGGTTTTTTAAAGTATCCTACTTGGCGGAAATGGCAAAGATTTTGGCTTTCTTAAAAGAACAATCGCAAGAGAAATTTTTTGCTGTTTGGGATAAATGGATAAAGTTTATACAATTTAAATTGGATATAAAATATCATTTAGCTTTTTTATAACTTTTATATATATATATATATATATATATATATATATATATATATATATATATATATATATATATTATTGTTAATTTTTTTATATATATATATAATCTTTTTAACTTTTTTAATTAAGCCTATATTCTGCTCTGGGAAGCTCTGGGGGGGGAGGGCGTGGGTGGTTTGGGGAAGGTTGGGGGAGGGTTGTATTGTTTTGTTTAGTTTTGTTTTTTTTGTTGTTGTATTGTTGTTTTCTGTTTTTTGTAAAAAAATTTTAAAAAATTTTCAATAAAAAAAAGTTGCCAAGGTTGGACACCCCTGTTTTAGATGATATCTATGAAGCAGCTTCCTTCTCATTCATGGTGTCAGATTGGCAAGCAACAGTTTCCGACATTGGCTTGATTGCAGATGGTCCATAGGTTCAGGTTATATTTTCAGCTATTTTATATGTGTAGTAGCCCATGGAATCAGATTTCTTTCGTCATACTCTTCTTTTTCATTGAATGGAAAGGAAGAACAATTCCAGTAACCAAAACTGTTTTTTTTTTTTTGTTTTTGTTTTTGTTTTTACTAAAATTAGTCCTGCAACTTTCACTTTGAAACTGGAGAACATCCTTGTGTGCTACTTCCAGAGGGAAAAAAAATCAAGGCAAACTGAGAGATTCTTTTTTTAGGCCGGATGTTCAGAAACAATGCAGAAGAAAAAAAAAATGGTTCTTTTGTTGCATTTACGTCCTGCCTTTTCTTAGGAGAATTCAAAGCTGCTCAGCCAGCGTTCCTCCTAATTTTATCCTCATAATAAAATCCCTGCAGGCTATTTTGGGATGAAAGAAAAGACTTGAATGAAGACACTGTTCAACTGCTACAAACACACTGATAAGATATCAATATAATATAACAATCTAATGGTTACTTCTTGGGAGATATCTGCACAACCATAATAAAAGTTCTAAAATCAGTGAGAAAGAGGATGGAGTATATGATGATTTGGAAAAAAAAAATGGGATGGTGAAGTCATTATCTATATATCTGTGATATTGCAAAAATGTCTAAAGGAAGGAGTGGTCTACAAACTGATTTTGTCCCATCAAGAGGCTGCTTTATTCCTACACTCTGTATGCTGGAGGACTCATTTGGTATTTCAGAATTGTATTTACTACAAGCCCTACATTGACAAAGCTACTGAGATTTTATGTCAGAGTGTAAACTGCAGAAATAATGAAGTAAATATATAGTTATCCTCACCAGGTTAAGTGTAAGATGATAAGAGGGAAGTTATTAAGTGTTGACCAGTCTCATAATTTATTACATGGATTTGTGTCTTGATCTGTTCTGATTTTATATAGCATTCCATATAAATTGGTCCTTCTTTGATTTACCTATTCTTCCCTTCACTTATAATTTGACGATTGAGCCAATTACACAGAATGACGTTGAACTTTCCTTCCATGGGTATATTCAACTAGAGACCCATCTGTCATGTATGTTTTAATTTGGATTCCTATCACAAAGAGGGAATGACCTAAGGGGCCTCTTCCAACATTATTCTACAGTTCTATGAATCCCGGTGCCAGCTGAATCCATCAACTTATTTGTTACTTACCATAGAGAATAATGCTAGCATTAGTGTTTCCTAGTTGGTTGTAGGCAACACAAGTATAATTTCCATAGTCTTGTTCAGACACATTGAAGAAAGTAAGACGGGAGAAGAAGGCCTTATTTTCCACTTTCAGCCCTTTCTGTCCTTCAAGAAGCCTGAAACATAGGAGTTACAATGTTAGGCACACACATACAAGCAAAACCTCAAAGATACAGACACACATATTTCATTTATTAACACAGTTGTCAGGCCCAAATAACCAAGAGCATTTGTTGAGTTCAAAGCACAAAAGAGTTTATTATTGCTACTTCTAATACAAGAATCTAGTTGACTAATGGTCAAAGCTTAAACTGGAACCAGATAAGGGTGAATGGAATTGTCTGGACCTGGGTTTCTTGTGGCAACACAGTGACTCTAAACTGATGGCACATTTAACCCCTCCTTCCAGCTAAGCCTCTTCTTCTCCTTCAATTGTATATAATTTCTCATTTGAGAAAAACCTCAAATAGCTTGTAACAAAATTATAAGAGAGTAGTAATATAATAATGAAATAATAATACCAATTATTATTAACCCAATAATGAGTGTGATTAGTTGCTGGGGAAAGCTGATAGAAAAACCTAAGGTTTCAATCAATGGCTGAAACCAGTGCAGTCTCCCTTGCAATTTCTAAGTTTCCTTTTCTCCCTGGCTTCCTACTTTTTCCTCAGCATAGTTTCAGATTTCTTTCCGATTTCCCTTAGTGCTACTTTTGAATTTGTTGGAGATGGCAAAGGCTAGCATTACAGCTTTCCACTTCTCTAAAATACTTCCTAATCCTAAAAGCTCCATAGAAAGAATTGGACCTTTATGACTTTTTTTTCCACATTTGTTTGAAGTGTGCGAAGCCACATAAGCTGTAGACTTCAGGAGGAACAAGTCTATAAAAAGAAAAGCCAGGACATTCACACACACACACAGAGAGAGAGAGAGAGAGAGAGAGAGAGAGGGAGGGAGGGAGGGAGAGGGGGGGAGGGAGGGAGGGAGAGAGAGAGAGGGAGGGAGGAAGGAGGGAGGGAGGGAGAGGGGGAGAGGAGAGGGAGGGGAGAGAGAGAAGGGGGAGGGAGGGAGGGAGAGAGAGGGAGGGAGGGAGGGAGAGAGGGAGGGAGAGAGAGAGGGAGGGAAAGAGAGAGAGAGAGAGGGAGAGAGAGAGAAGAGAGAGAGAGAGAGAGAGAGAGGGAGAGAGGGAGAGAGAGGGGGGGAGAGACAGATTCATTCTCCATAAATATCTGCAAAACTATCCTTCTCTACTCATCCATCAGACTTTAGTTCCCTTGTGAAACTGAATGGGACTTGATAGAAAAATATGAAGGGAATATTTTTCTGCATGGTTTTATCAAAAGTATCCCAAAGCTGGGTCCTGATCCTGTAATGGGAAGGGACAGGTCATTCTGTAGGAAACAGATCATTGAAAAGAAGACCCATCTATATGGGTAGTCCTGAAATTATACATGGAGAATAGGGACATCAAATGGAGATGATTATTATCAAGGTCATCTAGCTTTGACGTTATAATAACACGAGTATCTGAATTGTTCTTTTCAGCACTCCTGCTCATCAGGGCAGATATTTTAAAAAACAGATGCAAAAGATGTGTGACAAAGCAGTGGTGCATAACTGAGCAGATTCATTTTGTACAAATAATTTAAGTCAATCAATAATACTCTCAAAGGCAATTCCACGTTATAGAGCCAAATGCAGAAACCCAGTCCTGCCGATGTGGGAATTGCGAAGTCCTTGGTGCTCTCTGAGCTCAAACATTTTGCTGCCTAACCAAGTAAGAGCTTCAATGCACAGCCAAGCTCAGCAAGCACCAAGGACTCCATGGTTCAAACCTGAGCAATAGAGATTCTCTTTTATTAATGCACAGATTCCAATCACTGAGCTGCACACGAAAGAAAGAACGGTCACAAGTTCGCCCATGGAGATAAAATAGTTATAAAAGACTGCTGCGGTTGTTTGTAAATTGTATTGCTACCTATAATTTAATGTATTTGAGCACTGTAACTAGATTCGAGCCTCCTCGCTTGGGGACAAAGCTGATGTAATTTTCCATGTTCACACAATCCCTTTATGAAGAGCTTTCGCTTAAAATATATATTGCAACTGGTTTAGCCAGGGGTCTAGTCTCATTCCAGGAGATGAGTTCATTGAAAGAAAAATAAAAAAATCCCTGCCACTTTGCCACCGGGGCATCAGTCAACTAGTTCAGGAGAGCATTTCCAATCTTTTCCACCAAGGTTTAAACCTAGTTATGGTAATGGTATTGATCACTCTTGTTGATCTCCTGAGATGGTGGGAATACATGCATCCATTCTGATCTTCCTTGACCTCTCAGTACTCTTAGAGATCATAGTATCTTCTGGATCAATTTAGGGGTTGAGAATAGGAGGCCTAATGGTTCTCCTCCTTCCTCTATGTATGTTCCAGTCAGTGTTAGTAGGGGAAACAGACATCCAACTAACATCTAGCTCTAAGTCTCTTTCTGTGAGGTGCCACCAGACTCTAATTTGCTCCATCCCCATTTAACATTCAATCCTCTACAAAATGGCCATCTAGCATGTGCCAGTTCAAGCTGGAACATATTAAGAGATGATCTCCCAAAAAAGATCTGTATAGAAGTCTAACTGCTATTGCTATTGCTTATGTGTTGCTTTTGTTTTGTTTATTTTCACTTATCTGGTTTCTTTCTATGTTCCCTTGTTTTATCTTACACTGCCCTAGCTTGCTTTAGAACAACTCCTAGTAAGCTGCTACTAGGATAATTGATGAAATGATCCCATAATTGGAGATTGCCACATGACTGATAACTTAAAATAATATCTTAATCAGATGGTCAATATCTTTATAGTTGTTTTTGGATGGACCTCTGTAGTCTGACTCCTTGTGATCATTAAGAGGGGAAAAGGACCCAATTTCTGAGCATCTGCTGTGAGATCTACAGGAATCACCAATCTTATCTTGCCTTTTCATGCTTTGGGACCTGTGATAAATAGTCTCTATGTCTGAATCCCGGAAGAATTGTGTCAGAGAATCTCTGGCATGAATCCTGACAATGAGAGCTGTGATTCAAAATATTTGCAGACCATTTACAGAAAAAAAGCATGTTTTTGTGCCAAGGATATGTGCAACGTGCTACGGAGCACCTCCCATTTGACAGAATCACTTTCAAATGCCAGCACCATCAATCTTCTTTACAGAATGACTTATAATTGGTAAAAAAAAAAATCTCAAGTCCAAACTGCTTACAATTTAAATTTTGCTAGCAAGGAAAACAAAAAGGGAACAGAGAAGGCAGAAAGAAGCAAGACCAGGTTGATCAGTGATGAATGAAAATAGCAGTAAGTGGAGAACGCAAAAGATTGGATGTGTTAGAAGGAGATTTACTGAAGGAAGTGACTAGCTCCTGTCTGTCGGATAGCTTCGTGCAAAAGCTAACAGGAATCTGTCAGTCTCCCTCAAATAAGCCAGGGTTAGACTCGATGGGCTAAACAGCCATTTCCAATCGTGTGATTCTATATATTAAAAAAGGCAAAGGAATTCCTGCAGATTTTACTCCGCTGGTCACTGCTGACTATAGGGGAAGGTGCTCAACTGTGTTTCACGGCCATTGAGCCAGTGCTGTCCGAAGACATTTCTGTGGTCATGTGGCCAGCTTGACATCACAGAGCGCTGCTACCTTCCTATCAAGGTGGTACTTATTTATCTACTCACATTTACATGCTTTCAAACTGCTGGATTGGCAGGAGCTGAGGCGAGGATGGGAGCTCACCCCATCACGTAGCTCTCAGGAACCTGGGCTGCTGGCTTTCCAGCTGACAAACCCAGTGGGTTTGAGCCACCGCGCCGTCTGTGATTCTTTATGATGGACACCAATTCGTGTGCATGTACACGAATACATGCATTCAAGCACACATACCTCCTTTTTCCTCCATATTCCTCTGTTTGTATGGTAGCAGAATTACAAAACTTTTAAGGAGTAGGTAGTTTTTGTTTTAGCAACTGTAACGGCCCGTCCCACCACGCCACCCTTGAGTAACTCATGTACCGTTTGTCATCTTTATACCACTGGAATTCTGCTGATGGAACTGCAGAGGCCTCACACTGAAGGATGCCTTTTTGACCCACTGGCACACCAGTGTTCTTAGTGTCTGAGATATATGGTGGGTCTGCAGAGAAAGGAACAAGTTAAGTAACTAGGGAATGGATTATTATTATTATTATTTTAACACTGCTATTGCTTCAAAAACTTTCCTTCCTTCTTGGGCGCCTCACCACAAGCCATTTGTGTTTCATTTGGAAGGTCCTCTTAGAAAATATCTGGGGTATGAAAGTAATGCCCAGAACCTGATAAAATTGCTTTATAGCCCATCTGAAAGAAAGAACTTCCAGTTGTGCTGATATGCTCAACAATATATACCAGTGATGGCGAACCTTTTAGAGACCGAGTGCCCAAAAACTGGCCCCGCCCCCACGCCACCACCCCCCATTCCCCACCCCGCCTGCCCGCAGGGTCACTCACCGCCTCCAGGGCTTGCCGCAGATCGCCCAGGCAGCCCAGCAGCGCTATGGCTGTCATGCCCTCTGCCTGCACCCTGCAGCATGAACTGTGCACAATGGGGTGTGAGGGCAGAGTCTTGTCTACACTGCCTGGCTGCCATGTTCTTGGCTGCACTGCTCCGCGTGGGCCATGTTCAGGGGCAACTCTCCTTCAGGGGGGCTGCTGGAGAGGAGGGGGTCACAGGGGGAGGCAAGGCTGGGGAATGGCACGTGTGCCCACAGAGAGGGCTCCAAGTGCCGCCTCTGGCACCCGTGCCAAGGGTTCACCACCACTGATATATACAATCCACAATCTCCTAGGCAGGGAACAATTAATACATTTTGGCCACAAACATCTGTGGCCTTCAGAGTGACAGCACATTCATTTGTTTTCACATACTTTTGCTTCGGGTACAAGAGAATGTGCATCCTGAGGAAGGTAATGTGTATAAGGACCCATAAGTCAATGCCATAGCAAATATATAATGTCATAAGGGTTAAGTTAATCTCTAAATGAATGTAGGTTTGCCTGCATGAATGGAAAACCTGTGTGCAAAGGAAAACTATCAATTCAGTAAACAAGACACCTTGGGAATTGTAATCCCAACACAATGTGGACTGTCCAGTTTGAGAAAGCATACAGTATCTGCCGTAGAATACCTGCTTCAGTTTGTGAAGCATGAATTTTAGGGCAGGTATCCTTTCTTGCATGGGGAGGAGGTTATCATTGTTTCAATATATTTGCTACTATTCAAATATATGTATGTTTTTGGTTTTTTGTCCTTTTAATTCACATTTTAAAAATGCTTTTGTCTAATTTTGTTGTGTTTTTGTAAATTTTATTTTCGTTTTTTGGGAGTTTGTATTTTAACTTTTTGAATGAAAATAAAATTTACCAAGGGCAAAAGAATACATACTTCAGTTTGTAATATAATTGTTTACTCTCTCTTAGCAGTTGCCCAAACTGCGAGGAGGCATATTAGCTATTAAGAAGGCATATTAGCTCAGTGGTGGACCCCGTCATTTTCATGAATAAAGTCCTAGATTAAATCTCTTAAAATATCCAGCTAACATTCTTGGTTCGATTGAGTAATGGTTAGATTCAAGGTAAAGCATCTGAATGTTTTTGTTAGGGTTAAACAGAATATTCACCCCCAAAAAGGAGTGAATCCTCCTTCCTCTGAGCTGCAGGGTAAAGAAAAATTCAATATTACGCACAGTTTACGGTGACTTTTACTCTCCGCACAACAGGAGTTGCAACATCGTTGGAGGCACTGCACTCATATTCCCCAGATTGTTCCCGGGTGATGCTCGTGATCTCCAAGTATTCATCTTCACTCATGAATCCTGAAGCTGGAGAGGGCCAAATAGGAAAAAGAAGGAAGAAAGGAAGGAAGGAAGGAAGGAAGGGAGGGAGGGAGGGAGGGAGGGAGGGAGGGCAGGAGGGAGGGAGGGAGGGAAGCAAAGAGAGAAGGAAGGAAGGATGAAAGACAGGAGGGAGGGAGAAAGGGAAGGAAGGGAGGGAGGAAGGGAGGGAGGGAGGAAGCGAAGAAAGGAAGGGGGGAGGGAAGGAGAAAGGAAGGGATGAAAGGGAAGGAGAAAGGGAGGGAAGGAGGGAGAGAAGGAAGGAAAGATGAAAGACAGGAGGGAGAGAGAAAGGGAAGGGAGAAAGGAAGGAAGGGAGGGAGGGAAGGAGGGAGAGAAGGAAGGAAGGGATGAAAGACAGGAAGGAGGGAGAAAGGGAAGGAAGGATAGAAGAAAAGGAGGGAAGGAGGGAGAAGGAAGGGAGAAAGAGAGAAAGCGAGAAAGCGAGAAAGAAAGAAAGAAAGAAAGAAAGAAAAAGAAAGATAACAGAGCTAGACTATGTAGCAATGCAATAAGGTAGTAAAATATAGAAAATAGAGAAAGTAACTTATCGCCAGCTATCCTCTTTCATGCAGCACCAACCCTATCGGTATTTCTAGATTCTACTATAAAAACAATCTCTTCATTTATTGAGTCTCTTGATGTGGAAAACAGAAACGGGGCATCTGAACGAGCTTGGAGGCAGCCTGGCTGCCGAATACCTGTGTGCAAAAGGTTCCAAGTCTGTTGATTTCTGTGAAGATGCCAAGTGGAACAATTCCCTTCATCTACAGCAGAGGAAATCCTAGTTTGATGAAGTTCAAATGAGACAAAGAGTGTCTCCTCAAGATCTCTTAACTCACATTAACAACACTCCAGAAACACACTTGGGGCACGTTTTTGAACACAGGTAATCCGAGAAAGACACATTTTCTAGAATAGGGGTTGTTGCAAAGACAATGAAAAGGGTTGTTCTCTTCTGATGGGCCTTTTGGGGCCTTATGCAGGTTGACTTTAATCCTCCCCTTCTCCAAAACAAAAGTTGATTCTGCTTTCTGTTTGGATTGCAATTTTACCCTGGATAGATCATCTAAGTCAGGGGTCCCCAACCAGTGGGCTGCGGCCCACTAGTGGACCTTGATGGATTTGCCACTGGGCTGTGGAAATGGCCAGCGAGTGCTCATGTGCACATGCACATCCTCATTGGCATAGAGCAGGGGTGGGCAATTAATTTTTCCAAGGGAAAAATTGAGGGACTGAATCTGTTGTGGAGGGCTAAACCAATAGGGCTGAGAAGGTGTGCAGGCACACACATACACATACATAAATTGACCCAAAAAAAAAGTTGCCTTCAAAATAAAAGCCATGCAGTTGTATTGTGTGCATAGTGTACACTTATTCACATTTGATTTCTAATTTCTGACTGACTTCATGTGATCTGGACAAGCACAGCCAAAGGGCAGGATGAGGCCCAGGGACTATAAAATGCCCAGCTCTGGTGTAGTTAAAATGCATCAGAATCAAATTTTTTTTTTTTAATATAGTACAACAGTTCCCCAAAGTCTCCCCAAATGCATACATCCACACACTCCATTCGCACAGACCGCTTGAAAATTGCCAGAGGTCTCAGCTCACCAACCTTTCTGCTTATCTGCTATATATATATATATATTAAAGACTGTATAGAGCTCATATTTTAATCATCACAGTTCTAACTGGTTAACGCAATGGATCTGTCTGTTTTTGTGAGCGAAGCTGTGTGTAGCGAGGGGTAAAAATCACAGGCTGTACACCACAGCTTTCTCCACTTATTCAAAACAGCCTTCTGATCTCTGACATCAGAAGAGAATAAATCAAACATGGAATCAAAAAAACTGGTGCAGGAAGAAAGCGAGGAAAGAGAGAAGGATTGTAAGGATTGTAAGAGGTCGGTTTAAAAGAGGAAGACAGATAGCATTGTCTTATTTATTTCTTTCAGTCCACTCCATCTTCTTTTATCAAATATTTGCAGCCATAATGATGTAATTACTGAGCAAAGGATGTCTGAGACCAGTGTCACACTTAATATTCCCATTAATTTTAAATGTTAGTCCTTGGTACATATATGTGGCAATTGGTGTCATATTTTAATTAGGCTTGCCCTACGCCATCTGAAATTAATAATAGCTCGAATTACCAGTGTAAATTATGAATTAACATTGCTGCAGCATTAGGAAATAAATTAGCTCTGGACAGCTGTTTTCTGCCATTGGATGACAATGGCAGAGAGGAGGTTTACACATCTCCCACAAAGATATACACACAGGTGTAACTCAGCTTAGTAGTAACCGGAGGTAAAATTATCTTACCACCAGTGTCCCAAAACACACAATGCTTTAAGGTGTAATTGAAATTTTGGCTTTCTGATGTCTTTTTACCGTGTCAATTATAATACCACCTTGGCGTAGTGGTTAAAGTGCTGGCGTAGAAACCAGAAGACCATGAGTTCTAGTCCTACTGAGGCATGAAAGCTGGCCGAATGACTTTGGGCCAATCACTCTCAGTCCAACCCACCTCACAGGGGTGTTGTGGGAAAAATAGGAGGAGGAAGGAGTATTAGAAATATTTGCCATTTTGAGTTATTTACAAAGTAATAAAAGGTGAGATAAAAAGCTAACAAATGAATGGACAGACAGGCAGACAGACAGATAGATAGATGGATGTGAAACAGAATGCTGTATCAACTAGGTCTCTTACAGAGAGAATGGTGATGGATCCCATGGCTTTTCTTTTCTTTTCACAACTGTTTTTTTCTCTCCGACAAGAGGTTGAGACAAACAAATCTTCAGAGAAATTAAATGTCCCCACTAACTATTGGAAAAAAATAGGGATGAACCCAAATCACCTTTGCCTTGTTCTTTCCTACACTGCAGTGACAAACATGTCTTTTTGCAGTGCCCTGACATTTAAATAATTGTTGTTTAAATAATGGCATTCCTTTTAACACGCGTTTGCTATACTAAAATCTTCATTTCAAATAACACAAAAGGGCTAATTTGTAGGACATGTTTATAATCCGGAGGCTTTCATCTCTCTTACTCAAGGCTGTCAATAGAAAGCTATCCTTTCATAAAACATAGCCATTTTTTTTAAAAAAAGTGTGATTTTGGAATGATATAATGTACTATAAATCCCCAAGCTTCCTCCAACGTGATTTGTCCTCTAGCTTACAAAAAAGAAAAAGAAAAAAAAAAATTAAGAAGCTTTGCAGGAGAAACTCACTTGGCTTCTTGGATAATTCTTTCAGAATTAGTTACTCAATTAACTTCTCAGTCTGTTCTTTCACAGGGAAATAATGAAACAGATGAATGGGTTCACTTAAGTCAGAAATAACTACTCCACCCAGTTGTGTCCTGTAGATAAATTCAGCACCAATTCTCAAGGGGACCCTATAAAGATAGATTTTCTGGGGTTTCTCAAGAGGCTTCTGAAATTTATTTGGGAGTGGAGAGGAACTGACACATATTAGGCAAAAATAGTGTAACAAGGAATTTGTTCCCTGTATTGAACATTTCCCACATCAATCTCCAGTTTTGAGCTCAAACAAACAAACAAACAACCTTATGTTAGACCTATACCAGGAGTAGGCTGGCTCAGGAATTCTGGGAGTTGAAGTCCAGGAATCATGAGGGGGCCATAGTTCCCTCATGCTGGCTCAGGAATTCTGGGAGTTGAAGTCCAGGAGTCGTAAAAGAGTCAAGGTTGCCTACCCCTGACCTATACTGATAGTCTTCAATTTATGACAGTTCTTCAGAGAGCATTTGTTGTTTACAACGGTGTTAAAAATGGGAGTTATGACCATTTTTTTCACATAAGGGTTGCAGCATCCCCATGGTCACGTGATCCAAAGTCTGATGCTGGGTGACTGCTTCATATTTATGACAGTTGCAATGTCCTGGATTCATGTGACTTGGGGAAGCCAGATTCACTTAACAACCGGGTTACTAACTAAAGAACTGCCGTGATTCACTCAACAACTCTGTCAAGGAAGGTCGTAAAATGGGGCAAAGCTCACTTGAGAACTGTCTCGCTTAGCAATAGAAATTTTGGGCTCAACTGAAGTTGTACATCAAGGACTACCTGCACATTTTTTTTAAAAGGATGCCAATATTATCTTTAGTTGGCTTGTCTTCAGGCCAGCTTCTTCAGTAACAAAATAACTGAATAACAGAATTGGAAGGACCTTGGGATGTCTTCTAGCTCAAGCAGGAAACCCCATACCATTTCAGGCAAATGGTTGTCCAATCTTTTCTTAAAAACCTTTAGTGTTGGAGCACCTACAATTTTGTTTACAAATAGCAACTGCATTTTTTTTTCTGCTTTTCAGAATCGATTCTTTTGTCCTCTGTTAGATCCACACACATTTTGCTTTTCCAATAATCTCAGGCACTGTCTAGACCAGTGGTTCTCAAACTTTCTAATGCGGTGACCCCATAATACAGTTCCCCATGTTGTGGTGACCCCCAAGTGGGTGTGGCCACAATAAGAGGGAGTAGGACAGCTAGGGAAAAGGGGAAAAAATGGCGGACAGCGTCGTTTGGCGACCCCTGTGAAATGGTCGTTCGACCCCAAATGGGGTCCCGACCCACAGGTTGAGAACCACTGGTCTAGACTCTAGAGCAGGGGTCTTCAAACATGGCCCTTTTATGACTTGTGGACTTCAACTCCCAGAATACCCAGGCACCCTGGCTGAGGAATTCTGGGAGTTGAAGTCCACAAGTCATAAAAGGGCCAAGTTTGAAGATCCCTGGTTTAGAACCTCTCAATCGTACACCTCCGAGAAGACGAATCAAGCTGCCTTGATGCCTTGTTTGGCAGCCTACACCTTTTGTGATGAGCTCTGAACATCTATTTTCTTCCAAGTTCCATTTCTGGAATTCTTTACAGAGCATTTCACAGGAGCAGAAATGCTGAGTTCATCACTTCTGGGTTTAAGTGGAAGGAAACTAGCAAAGGTATTATCCCCCAGT